TTAATAGGCTCTTAGCAGTACCAGGCAGTACCAGTTTCTGCTTTTGTGTGCTTTGGATCTCTAGCATCCGCAGTTCTTCGATTTATTTCACTTTTTTGGCACTCCATCAAACCCCTTCAACATTCACTCCCTCTACCACCAAATGCACAGTGGCAGCAATGTGTATCATCTATAGGATACAAAGCAACAGCTCACCAAGAATTCTGCACTAGCACCTTTCAAACCTGTAACTTCTACCACCTCAAAGGCCAAGAGAAGATTATTGGGAACACCATAATTTGCAAGACCTCCTTGCAAGCTAAACAACAGCCTGATTTGGAATCACAGAATCATTTCTATGCTGTCGCTGGGTCAATATCCTGGATTTTGCTTCCTAACAGCACTATGGGCATACCACAGCACATGGAACACAGTGGTTCAAGAAGGCAGCTCTTCACCTTCTCAAGAGAAATTAGGAATTGGCAAGAAATGCTGACTTAGTCATTGACACCCATATCACTTAGATAAATTAAAGTAGAAGTTTTGAATCAATATACTGGAATTCTTTGAGAAGTATTGCACTGAGGACAAAGGGAAATTGGCAGCTGTATTATACTTAGATTTACTGACACTTCTGCCTGAAAAAAAAATGTTTATACCAATTTATACCAATACATTAAAGCTTTCATCATCATTGAGGATAGTGATTTTTGGGGGATTTTTGCTGGGGACCACTGGAGGAGGCTGAGGTGGATCATCCACTCAGCACTTCTGGCTGAAGATTGCCAGATTCTGGACACACCCACCATCGGGAACATCCTCCTTGCATCTACGCTGTCCAGTCCTGTCAGAATTTTATAAGTCTCTATGAGATCCCCTCATTCATCTGAACTCTAGTGAAAACAATCCCAACCTAGTCAATCACTCCTCACACATCAGACCCGCCATCCCCGGAATCAGCCTGGTAAACCTTTGTTGCACTCCTTGAGAGCAAGAGTATCCATCCTCCGAAAAGGAGACCAAAACTGCACACAATTTTCTAGGTGTGGCCTCACCAAATATAACTGATACCTGCAACACTGTATAACTGCAACAATACATCCCTGCTCCTGTGTCAAAACCTCTTGCAACATAAGCTAAGAAGTGGGGATCTTCAATCATGACTGAACAATATTTGGTTCCATTTGAGATAAAGGAGGAGACTTTAGAGGGTTCCAACTAATAGTTTAACAAATATCCAGGAATTGTCAGAGGTCTTAAATTTTGCTGTAATTCCTGGGCAATTGTTAAACTGGCCCCTTATCCCCACTCACCACTGATCTCCCCCACATTTTCCTTCGGACAGTCCCATTATTATCTCTGCTTCCCCATCCCGAGACAATCCAGAATTCCTGTCAGACTCGTTATACCTGACTCCCTCTGATCCTTCCACCTTAGAGGTAACAGCCTCCTAATCCAGACTCAAAGTAACCCTTGAACTCCACTACGCTATCTCAACTCCATTCAGACCCTACGATGATCACCCCAACACTATCCCTGCTTGGGCTCAATCACCCTCCCCTCACAATCCCCCAATGCTACCATTCTGTGAAGTACCTTCCCTGATCACTCACTACTCACTCCTTTATCACCAGAGCACATCTTCCCATTTGGCCTACTTAAAGCACTCACCTGCCACCCTAACCTCTAACTCACCTGACATCCTAGCCCCTCCTTACCTTAGATACTCATTCTTTCGATGGGGCTGTGAATGCAATAGCAGGACCTTTAAAACCCGAATTACTGCAGTGATGGTCATGATAAGGGAATGTGGCTTCAACATCAATCTACTGTCCTGCATTCTGCAAAGGTTCCTGGCCTGAACTGCTGCAGAAAGGGTTCCCAGCCTCGGAGAACTCTGGTTAGTGTGCATTTTTTTCTCTGATCAGGATACTGACCTTGATTTTAAGATTTGGGACATTATATTTAATTCTTATTCACTGTTCCTTCCTACACCACTGCCAGTCTTTTATATTCTAAGTTCAGTACCTTGATTCTGTCTCTGAAGTCCAGTCAACCAATTTCCTATGTACAACAGTTTCATTGTGGTCTCTCTGTACCTCAACGTTTATCAAACAAGCAAACTCTATTCAAAGATAACACAGTGTGGATCTGGAGGAACACAGCAGGCCAGGCAGCATCAGAGGAGCAGAAAAGTTGATGTTTCGGGTCAGGACCCTTCTTCAGAAACAGGGAGGGGGAAAGGAGCTCAGAAATAAATAGAGAGAGGAGGGATGGAGCTGGGGAAGGTAGATGGGATGGTGATAGGTGAGTGCAGGTAGGCAGTGGTGGGGATTGGTCAGTCAGGTGGGAGGAGCAGATAGGTGGGAGAGAAGATGGACAGGTTGTGTCAGGTCAAGGAGGCGGAGATGAGAGGGAGGGTTGGTCATGGGATGAGGCCGGGGGTGGGGAGATTTTGAAACTGGTAAAGTCCACATTTGGGCCATTGGGCTGTAGGGTCCCAAGGCAGAATATGAGGTGCTGCTCCTCCAGTTTGCGGGTGGCGTCGTTGTGACACTGGAGGAGGCCCAGGATGGACGTGTCACCCAAGGAGTGGGAGGTGGAATTGAAATGGTTCGCGACCAGAAGGTGTTGTTGTCTGTCACAGAGAGCTGGTGCTCTATTCAAAAGTGGGTAACATACTGCAATAATCCATAACCTCAAATGGGTATTCTTATGATGAGACTAACCCCATGGCTCACTACTAACGGATCATATAAAGTGCTGCAACTAACACATATCTATAACTATAATATATGCAAAATAATATTTAAAAATATAAAGCCAGCCAGTCATCTGTAGCATAAAACCTACAAACAGCTTCAACAGCTCACTTGCTGACTTTTCTAAAGAGACAGTTTTATGGGTCTTTCCCTATTTAAAGCAATAATTTTAAGAGAACAGGCAAGACACGCAGCTACACCTTAGTTTGCTACTCCATATCAGAGCAATCCATCATAGGAAAAAAGGCTTTGTCCATTGCACATGCTTTAGCACTAGACTTCTAGAACCAAAATTAGCATCACAATTACACCTGGCTTGCAAATATTCTGTTTCCATAAAATGGAATAAAATCACAACTGAACAGCTAAAGTAGCAACTGGAAATAAGTAAAGTGGATGTACAAGATTTCAAGGGATTTTTCAAACAGCCAAAACTTACCAATACAAAGCTGATAATTGAAATGATTCACAATAGGTTTTAAATTTTGTTTATATAGGTACAATTTTGTACTTTCATGAGTTAAGAAACACAATACTGAACATAATTTTTGTTACATAATAAAGATGACAATCTCAATACTTAGAAGAATTATTAATTAATGACATGGCAGCATTTTATTGAACTTAAGTGTATTGACAACGTCACAAGAGTTCTGTGTCTTTCGATGTCCTTTGATATACAGGACTTCTGTGAACCATTACAATAATGGCTGGATACTCAAGAAACATTTTGCTCACAACTTCAAGAAATGTTTTGAATGATAGCAACCTTGGTAATCACGCACGGCAAAACCACTTGTAAATCATTGGTGTAGTGCTAAAAAGGTATGCAGCACAAAGCCCGATGCCATTATTGAAACTTGAGCGTTAATGAAATGATTTCTTTTGCATTTGGAATTTGGAAACAATGAATAAAGAATTGACTGTATATTTATACTGTATACTTATTTTTAAACAAGATGAGGTATATTCTTCTGACTTTCCCAGTCACTCTTAATGTGTCTTATTGTATAAAGCCATTCTGCAGGCTTAATTTACATTTCTGTGAACTTGTTAGGTTTTTACATATTTAACTGTTGCTAACCTTAAAAAGGGACACATAACATCATATTACATGTTTATAATTTCTTTTTAAACCTTATAAAGCAGCAATTTCCGACATTACAGTATGCAGACCATGAGACGTTTGAAAGTTTAACAAAAATCAGACTTTAGCATGCAGTTTATGTGTCATACTTTAAGAATTGACCTCAAGTTTAAATGTAGTGTTCCAATTTTAAATGAATGAAACAAAGATAATCTCCAGGAAAATAAATATCAGAGGGAATGGCCTAGTGGTATTATCTGGACTGTTAATCCAGATTCCCAGATAATGTTCTGGGGACCCGGGGGTTCAAATCCCACCATGGCAGATGGTGGAATCTGAATTCAATAAATATCAGGAATTAAGAAGCTAATGATGACTTTGAATCCAATGTTGATTGTCGGAAAAACCCATCTGGTTCACTAATGTCCTTTAGGGAAAGAAACTGCCATCCTTACCTGGTCTGGCCTACATGTGACTCCAGACCCTCAGCAATGCGGTTGACTCTGAACTGCCCTCTGGGCAATTAGGGATGGGCAATAAATGCTGCCTAGCCAGCGACGTCCTCATCCCATGTATGAATTAAAAATTTGCAGCTTCAGTGCTTTTTACATGAACCACTCAATTTTGTTAATCTAATAGATTTTGGACCTTAAAGGGACCTACCTCTGGGGCAAGAGGTCCGGGTTCAAGTCCCAACTGCTCCAGAGGTGTGTCATAACATTTCTGAACAGGTTGATTAGAAAAAAAAAAAAATCAGAAGAGCACCATACTTCCCTTATAAAACAAAGCATCTCTAACTTTGTGTAACAGCGTCTCAGAAGATTTGCAAGTAATATATTAAAAACAGAATGGTAATACTCCAGGCATCAACAAAGTCTGATGCAAATTTTTGTACTGCACTTAACAACAGGGCTTGAAAATATGCACTTTCATTAAAGATATTAAATCCATTTAAAGATATTTTCTAATCAGCCTGCTCAGAAATACTAGTACACACCGTTGGATGAGGTGGGATTTGAACCTGGATTTCCTGGTCCAGAGGTCAGGACACTACCACTGTACCACAAGGGCAATAAAGCCACAATCTTGTCTGCATTCTGGCATGGACTTTGCAGAAGTCTTGACATTTAAAATATTAATTCAAAAATAATTAAGTACATTAAAATGCTAACCTCTTCAATCTCTTTGGTTTTCTCAGCAATTGCTCTGGTGCGAACATCTGTTTGGTTTAGATCTATGAGATCAACAGCACTTCGTGTATTTATCTCTAGATCATCCAATTTATCTGGAAACAGCATTTGAACAGGATCCTGTAACCAAAAAAGAAACAGCACGGCTGATAGAAAAATGTGACACAATGTTTTCTTTTTTCCCTGATTCATTTGTGGGATGTAGGCATCGCTGGCTGGCCAGCATTTCTTGCCCATCCCTAGCTGCCCTTGAGCAGGTGGTGGTGAGCTGCCTTCTTGAACCGCTGCAGCCCTCCTGCTGTGGGTTGACCGACAATGCTATTAGGGAGGGAATTCCAGGATTTTGACCCAGCGATAGTGAAGGAATGGCGATACATTTCCAAGTCAGGGTGGTGAGTGACTTGGAGGGGAACTTGGAGATGGTGGTGTTCCCATATGTCTGATGCCCTTGTCCTTCGAGATGGAAGTGGTCGTGGGTTTGGAAGGTGTAACTGTTTAATTTATTGGCACATTAACTTGGCAAACAAACTATTTCTGCATGAGAAGTTTCACACTGGTAGAATCCAGGAAGAACAGGTATCATCCATTAGTTTCTTTAATGAATGACAACTTTGAAGACAAAGGATTAGAAAGGGAGATAACAGTACTTCAAATACACTGTAAGCTTTTAGGTGTTACATAAATGGCAGTATATAGCAGCATCCTGTTAAAATTGTGAGTGACATTCAACTGCTTCATCAGTAGATTTTTGGGGCAAGAGAATTTGTAAAGTAACTGGCTTTGGTAAAGGTTTATGGTTTTGTGCAGTTTTGAAGCAAGTTGGATGAGCAGACATCTAAATTCTATATAACATCAGAATGGAATGTTTCAAATCATCCAAACAACAGATACTTGAATTTACTGAGTTCAACTTGGAAAAGTTCATTTAGACATAAGAACGGGAAACATAATCAGCAATTCCAACCCGTGGTGTGATTAACAGGCAATCAAAAATGCTATTATTAAGATGGGATTTCAGAAGATTTTTAAAGGCAAAGAGAAACATCAGCTCTTGTCTCAATATTCCATTTTTACATCACAATCTAATAATCTTCTGAAGCGAACATTACTCTTTTGTAAAATAGTCAGACAATTTGTGATTACTGTGAACCCAGTGTACTTGGGAAATTGCCCTTCTTTCCAACACTTCCTCAAACTAGCAAGATCAATTTTCAATGTTTTCTCTGCAATGCAAATGAACATTATCCTAAAGAGAATGTTTGTCAACTTTTTCCTCAGATTCTCCTTGTATAAATTTCCTTCAGAATATTCGACAAGTTCACCCCTACATCTATTGATTCCACAAGAGCCAGCGTTTCAGCAGCTAAGGTGCTTTTAATTACCCTTTTTATTTACCTGGCTTGAGAGGCCAATTTACATCATTTATTATTCTTTCCAACAAGGAATATGATAAACCCTGCTGTATTAGAATATCCATCCACAAGACTGGACTGTAAAGCATAATTAAGGATGATTAACTTCATATCTTCTGGATCAACCAAGATGGAAAATTTGAGTGCACATTTCTGTTAATTTACTTATTTATTTGTGCTCAGAACCCCCTTAACTGTGGGAATGTTTTAACATGGTACTCAGTTCCAATAGGTCATAACTGGCATCAGATGCAGCTTGATCCAAAATTACTTCAACTGATCAAGCATTTTAACTGGTCTGTTTTATTGTGAATACCGGAATTGCTTCCTGAAGACCTGGCCCTATTTATTGGAGTTCAATTAAATGTTCTAAGTAAGACTGTTATTCCAAGCTCGTTCCTGACTTGTTCTGTTTATTATCTAATCCCATTCATAAAGCTCCCGGAGCTTGATTTACAGTATAGCTTGAAAAGATATATTCATAAAGCTGTGTTCACTGTCACCAGCAGATGTATGCTGCACACCACAGAAATTCATGCATGAGCATTTAAACCAGTTTGGGTTCAGTCTTAAAAATGGGATGTGGCTGTGAACAGGGTTGGGAAATGATTCTTTTCATGTCCTCACTCCCTTCCACCCTTCCTGCATCCTCACTCAGCCCCATATCCTAACTTCACCCCACTGCACTTTCACTTTTCCCAACCTCCCACTTCTTAACTCTCCCCATTGTGCATCCTCACTCCCTCTCCACGTCCTCACTCCTCACACCTCCCATCCCAGCTCCCGCTAAATCCAATTTGAATATCACCTAGCTCATCTGTGCAGAGAAGACACATGACCAGGTAAAGAACTACTGAACTGAGAATGAGAGTCAGAAATCCAAATACTTGGATATCAGCAAAAGTTTCAAGAATATGCAGCCATCTGATTATGGTTCAGATCAAGGTGCGGCACTGTGGAAGAACAGAAGTCAGCCATTTATCAAACATAATCTGCATCTTCTAACTGTCCAACATGTGTGTGTGCAAATGCATGGTGCATTATTTTTTGACTGTTCAGACTCTAAATACATAATCAGTGTCAATTAGTTTTGAATAATGTAGTCTAACAGTCTGATTGCCAAGTTGTAAAATTACTCTTTCACGTCACTACCTATAACCTTACAAGTGCCCTTTCAATCGACCCATAGCCTTACATGTGTCCTTTTTTATAACAGTCTATGTCCCCTGGATTAAAATTGATTTCAGATTCCCCGTCACAAAGCCGTAATAAATGCCCTTCTCCCTGTGTGCACAGCATTTATGTGCTCAATAAAATGGAGCTAAGTGTAGACCCAACCCAAGCTGGGGATGATCACACATTACCAAAGGTACTTTTAGATCTTTTCCAGAAAACGAACTGGTTTGGACAGTAACCCTCAACCATTCACCGTGAGTTCTTTTCAACTACTGCTCATGCCAAGGATGATGTTAGTTTAGAGCTTGGTTGATCCACAAGAGCCCCTTTATCTGCAGTTAATACCATGAGTCTATCCATTTTTAACACCTCAATCAGTGGCACGAACGAAAGGTACAATGGGGCTAACAATAGTTGCATCTTTTTTCCAACAATCAGATGAAAGACGTTTTCGTGAACCATTAACTATGTCAGTCAAGCAGTCTCATAAAATGATCATTGTTACAGAATTAATGGAAGTAGTAGAGATGAAGAGCTGAGTGTTTTCAATGATCTATATAAAAGTTGACTACCCTGTCATCAATGAACATATATGGTAACAGATAAAAGAAGGAATGATTTTTCTATGTTTAAGTGAACAGCTCTGGAGTAATAGGTTTTATTTAAGGGGAGGGAAGTGCAGTAGAACAATATGCTCAGCTTAGACATGGCGAGAAAGATAAGGGCCTTTGTGCACCAAGTCTGGTTGAGTTTTCAGCCTACAATTCATAGGAACAAGATTGAAACGGTATTAGAAAAACAGTTGGTGATGCCAATTAATTTGGTGGGAGCTAAAACATCGAAAGCAAAGAAAAGACAGTAATTGAGAAGATCAATAATGGCATGATGAATAGACAGCCTGAAACAAGAAGGTTAAACAGCGCTAAAGAGCTGGAGACTTTGTTTTGAGTACAGAAGACAAGGATACTGGGTTTTCAGGCAGGGAGATATCAGGTGGGAGAGGAGACAAAGGATTGTCAAATATCATCGTATTGATGAAGGCCACGGAGGTTGCTAAATAACCATGGCTGTGGGTAGGAACACTTATGTGAAGAAAAGCCTGCAAAATAACAGGAGAGTAGAGAAGTTGATGGAGAAGGGTCCAAAGACAAAGAGTTTAAACGAAGGTTGAAATCGTTAAAGATGCGGAGACATTCAGTGCAGAGACCAAGGTAAGAGATCTCTGCGATTACGTTATGGGTTTAGAAGCATGGTGCTAATTAATTTTGCGACAGACAGAAAGAATGGAAGATAACTATTTGCAAAGTGTATACATGCTACAAACATAAATCAGGGAAATCTTCAAATGGGTCTTTGTATGAGCTAGATGATCAATAATTTAAGTAATGGAACCAGTTTTTCATGGCTATCTACCCTCTGCATTGTGTGCCGGCACAATGAACTTGACTGAGATTTGTAATGTCCATCAGTCAAGTCAAATTTAAACTCTTTTGGTGGCAAATTGCAAGAAACTTGGTTTGCAGACATGTATAAAACTTTGTAGAACAAACTATGAGCAAGCAAAGAAAATCTTAACATATTTTGTAGCAGTTACTATTAATTTGTATACTTACAATATTATCACATTCATTCATTTCCAGCTCTGGAATCTGCTGCTGTTCCGAACACCATTCACTTACACCTTCCTTATTCAGGTTCTCAGACGTTTTGCTGGATTTTTCAAAGTTTGCAGCCTAATAAATCAAGAAGCATTTTAATTCTGCATCTCCAACTTCTGTTCTATCTTTTAAAAAAATTACCTCATGACTGGTATAGTAGAAATGAGTCTACTTCATTAATTGAAGACTGTAAACAGTGTATTCCACAGGAGCAAATAATGCGTCACTTAAATTCATGCCATTCATATATGTTAGTAAAGTTTTCAGATATTCATTTTTAAATGCTTGGTCGTACAAACATAAAATAGGGTCCTGAGTACTTATTTAAGTGGGCAAGAGGAATTTGTATATACGTTGCTCTCCTTTTTTTAAAAGAAAAAGGGTCATGAAGATGACCAAACTCTGCAGCCCCATGGCAACACCCTGACAAATCAGAATTTTGCATCATAGATCTGTTAAGTGCAAGATGAAAAGTGTCAACTTCTAGTCTCTTTGTTTATATATTCAGCTTTAATTCTAAAACTGATATTTGGTCTATGTTGATGGCAGACGCTGGACAAAACTTCCAAGTGAAATTACCAGCAAACCCCTATAATTACAGCTTTGCCTTTAAATAGTTTATATTCATTTAAACTATAAGAGTACAGAAACTATACATCCAATAGCTCTGAAATATTTGTATCAAAGCTCTTAAGTATTAATGTGGCATTTGTTTCTTTTCTGATTAACACTCTCAGAATATACAATGAAATGCAGCAAAAAGCTTCAGAGGCCAAAGCATTTCCTTTGTCATGATTGGAGTTGCCCTGTAGATTACAGTAGATTTTTTTTAAAATGCAGATCTTCAACCACTGGGACCCATGAGCAGCCTTTCCAGTTTTTTTGTAGCTGGGTATTTCTGATTACATGATTGGGTGTAATATAATGTTCTGAGCTGGTAATTGATTAACAAACAAAAAGCAGAGAGTAAGAATAAATAGACTATTATTCAGATGGCAAGTGGGTAATAAGTCCACAGCAGTGTACAATCAAATTATTAGGAGGTGGGGTCCAATGTAATATTTTCAAATTTGCTCTTATCACCAAACTGGGTGGGTACATAAGTTATGGGGAAGATGCAAGGAAGCTTCAAGAGGTAAAGGTAAAGTTGCCATGGTCCCAGAGGATCATAAAGTGAGAAGAAAGAAAGGTTTAAAAAAGACACGAGGGGCAATTTTTTTACACAGAGGTTTATTCGTGTGTGGAATGAACTTCTTGAGGAAGTGGTGAATGTGGGTACAATTGCAATGTTTAAAAGACATTTGGATAAGTACATGAATAGGAAAGGTTTGGAGGGATATGCACCAAGAGCAGGCAGATGGGACTAGTTTAGTTTGGGATCATGTTCGGCATGGACTAGTTGGACCGAAGGGTCTGTTTCCATGCTGCATGACTGTATGACTCTCCTTATAATTCAAAGCCTCCAGTCTTGGCAATATATTTGTAAATCTTTTTCGTACCCTTTTCAGTTTAATACTATCCTTCCAATAGCAGGGTGACCAGAATTGCATGCAGTACTCCAAATCTGACCTTACCGATGTTTTGTATCGCAATAACAATGTCATCCTGACTCCTGTAATCAGTGCTCTAACCAATGAAGGCAAGTGTGCCAAATGCCTTCTTCACCACCCTGTCTACCTGCGATGCCACTTTCAAGGAACTACATACCTGTACTCCTAGGTTTTTCTGTTCAACAAATCTCCCCAGGGGTCTATCATTAACCAAGTCCTGCCCTGGTTTGTCTTCCCAAAATTGCACATCTCTCATTTTTCAGACTTAAATGCAATCTGCCATTCCTCAGCCCACTGGCCCTGTTGATCAAAATCCCATTGTACCCTTAATAACTTTCTTCACATCCACAAATATACTAACCATGCCTCCTATATTCTCATCCAAATTGTTTATATAAATGATGAATAACAGCAGATCCAACACCGATCCTTGCACATACTGCTGGTCACAGTCTGAACAACAAACCTCTACCACACCCTCTGTCTTCCACTATCAAGCCAACTTTTCATCCAATTGGCTAGCTCTCCCTGGATCCCACGTGATCTAACTTTACTAATCAGTCTATCACGCAGAACCTTGTTGAAGGTCTTGCTAAAGTGCATTTTAGACAACGTTATTGCTCTGCCTTCATTTATATTTTAGGTCTCCTCTTCAAACGACTCAATTAAGTTTGTGAGACATGATTTCCCACACACAAAGCCATGCTGACTATCCCTAATCTGTCTTGCCTTTTCAAAAGCATGTAGATCCTGTACCTCAGAATCCCCTCCAACAAGTCACCCACCACTGACGTCAGGTTCACCAATCCATAGTTCCCTGGCTGTTCCCTGCAGCCTTAGCTAACCTCCAGTCTTCTGGCACCTCACCCATGGCTGTTGATGATACAAATATCTTTGCTAAGGGCCCCGAAATTTCCACCCTAGTTACCCACAATGTCCTGAGGATTTATCACTTATGCCCTCCAGCACCTCCTCTTCTGTAATGTGGATTCTTTTCAAGACATCACTGTTCATTTTCCTGGGTTCCCTAGCTTTCATGTCTTTCTCCACAGTAAATAGTGATGTAAAATATTGGTTTAGAATCTCACCCATCTCCTGTGGTTCTACACACAGATGGTCTCATTGATCTTTAAGGGGCCTTATTCTCTCCCTAGTTACTCTTTTGCCCTTAATATACTTGGATAACTTCCTTAACCTTATCTGCCAAAGCTATCTCATGTCCCCTTTTTGCCCTCCTGATTTGCTCTTAAGTGTACTCCTACAACCCCTATTCTCCTCAAGGTATTCACTTGATCCCAGCAGTCTATACCCGAGATATGCCTCCCTCTTTTTTTTGACCAGAGCCTCAATATCTCTAGTCATCCAGTGTTCCATACACCTACCAGCCTTGCCCTTCACAGTAACAGGAACATGATGGCCCTGAACTCTCGTTATCTCATTTTGAAAAGCCTCCTCTTGCTAGGCGTCACTTTCCATGCAAACAGCCTCTCCCAATCAACTTCTGAAAGTCCCTGTCTAATACCATTAAAACTGGCCTTGCCCCAATTTAGAACTTAAACTTGTGGACCAGGCCTATCCTTTTCCACAACAATTTTAAAACTAATAGAATTATCGTCACTGGTCCCAAAATGCTCCACACTTGACAGCTCAGTGACCTACCCTGCCTTATTTCCCAAGAGGAGGTTGCATTTTGCTCCTTCCCTAGAACGGCCATCTACATATTGATTGAGAAGGTTTTCTTGAACATGCTTAAATTACCCCTCATCCAATTCTTTAATATTATGGCAGTCCCAGTCTATGTTCGGAAAATTAAAATCCCCTACTGTTACAACCCTATTATTCTTACAGCTATCTGCGATCTCCCTACTCATTAGCTCCTTAATTTCCTGCTGAACTATTGTGGGGCCTACAGTACAATCCCATCAAAGTGACCAGCTCCTTTTTATTTCTCAGTTCCATCCATGTAGTCTTACTGGACAATCCCCCTGGAATATCTTTTCTAAGTACTGCTGTGATGTTTTCCCTAATCAAAAACGCCACTCCCCCTCCTCTCTTGCCACCCCGCTATCCTTCCTACAGCATCTATATCTCAGAACATTGAGCTGCCAGTCCTGTCCCTCCCCCTGCCACATTTCTGTAACAGATATGACATCCCAGTCCCATGTTCCCATCCATGTTCTGAGTTCATCTGCCTTACCTGACAGGCCTCTTGCATTGAAATATATGCATTTATTCATCAGTCTTCCCTCGTTTTCTGCTGTACTTTTGCCTGACTCATCTATTTAACTTGCTCTCTTTAACTTCTATACCAGCCTCAATCTTCTCTCTTGTCTCACAACTGCTTAGGGTCCCACTCCCCTGCCAGACTAACTTAAACCCTCTCAAGTAGCTCTAGCAAGTCTCCCCGCCAGGATATTGGTTCCCCCTCCAGTTCAGGTGCAACCCGTCCCTCTTGTACTGGTCATTTCGCCTCAGAAGAGATCCCAATGATCCAAAAATCTGAATCCCTGCTCCAATTCCTCAGCTGTGCATCCGTGTGCCCTATCCTCCTATTCCAACTCTCACTATCACATGGCACCGGGAGTGATCCAGATGTTACTACCCTGGAGGTCCTGCTTTTTAATCTCCTGCCTAATTCTCTATATTAACTCTGCAGGACCTTATCCTTTTCTCTATGTTGGTTGTACCAATGCGTCCAATGGCCGCTGGCTGTACACGCTCCCCTTTGAGAGTTTGCTGCAACCACTCAGAGAAGTTCTTGACCCTGGCACCAGGGAGGCAACATACCATCCTGAAGTCTCGCTCGTGGCTGCAGAAATGCCTGTCTGTGCCCCTGACTAGACAGTCCCCTATCACAATTACTTGCTTGGATTTTGCCATGCCCTGCTTTACAGCAGACCCAGTCGTGATACCAAAGGCCTGGCTGCTGCTATTTTTCCCTGCTAGGCTATTCCCACAGCAGTATCGAAAACAGTATACTTGTTTGTGAGGGGGGGATAGCCACAGGAGACTCCTGCACTACCTGCCCACCTTTCCTGGCTGTCACCCATTTGTACCTGAGGTGTGATCACCTCCCTGAAACTACTAGCTATCACACTCTCTGCTTCCTACATGCTCCTCAGTGCTTCCAACCGATTGATGCAGTCCAAGAGGAGCTGCAGCCAAACACACTTCCTGCAGACATAGTCGCCAGGGACACTCAACTCTGCTCCCTGATCTCCCACAACTGACAGGAGGAGCATACTGCTCCACTGACTGCCATCTCTGCACCTTTAACAAGTAGCGGACTTAGGACAAAAAAGGTTTACCTTGTTGGTGCTCGCCCCTCCTCAACAAAGCCTGGTATTCACCTAGGCCTGCTCTTCGATCTAATCAGCAGCATCTTGACCACAATGCAGTCCCTTGCAAAAGTGGCCAGAATAAGACACAGAAAAGCCTCCCTCCCCCACGTTCCTAAACTCCCACACTTAGCTCAACTCCCGGCACACTCTTGCTGATTACACTCTCATTAACTTCACTTTAACCTCAGGATCACCATACTTCAGAAGAGGGGTGAGATTGAGAAGGCAGGGCCTTCATGGTGACTTCAGCAAATACAGAAATTGAATCTGTGCTCGTGGCATCAGTCTGCGTCACAAAACAGTCTTCCCCTCTGACAACGTCTAAAATCCACAATTTTGTAGCTCTTTCCAGTTTCAAAGAGTAATCACGTTGGACTGGAAAAGTGAATGGTTTCTCTCTCCACAGATGCTGTCAGTCCTGCTGCCCAAGTTTCTCTAGCACTTTGCTTTTATAAGTAAATTATATATTAGCTATCATCACAAGGGGACTTGAGCACGAGCGTAAAGGCGTCTTCCTGTGTAGAGACTTCGTGAGAAATCTTCTAGAGTATTGTGAACAGTTTTGCTCCCCTTTTTCAAACAGATATACTTGCCATAGAGAGAGAGTCAATAGAGGTCCACCAGATTAATCCCTGGGATGGCAGGACTGTTTTATGAAGAGAAATGGAGTAGATTGGGTCTGTATCCCCAAGTTTTTCAAAGAGTCAGGGGTGACCTCACTGGAACTTGCAAAGTCTTGCACGACATGACAAGGTGGAAGCAGATAAAATGTTTCCCCTGGCTTGAGGATCTAAACTAAGACGACTTACTCTCAAAATAAATTTCTTCACTAAGAGGATGGTGATCTTTTGGCATTCTCTACCCTAGAAAGCCGGGGAAGATCAATCATTCAGCATGACCAAGACAGAAATCAATAGATTTCTGAAGACTAATGGCATCAAGGTGTATGGGGATAGCACAGGAAAGTGGCATCGAGATAAATGACTGACTAGGATCTAAATGAATGGTGTAGCAGGCTCAATGGACTAAATGGCCCACTCCTGCACCTCTGTTCCTACAGTTTATAGATAAAAGACTAAAATAAAGAGCAATACAGCAGTAGGTTTTAGTAGTGATAATGTACATAAGCTGCTCTTACCTTTATTATTTCATACAAGCACACAAATTAACAGAAATGAGACATTCTGCCCATCAAGCTTGCTCCATCATTCAATAAAATAGAGATTGTTCTGAATTCCACATTCCCATCTGCCCGAAATAACCTGACACCTTGCCTAAGAAGAATCTATCTCCCTTCACCTTAACAATATTGAATGAGCCTGCCTCAATCCCCTCCTGAGACAGAGAGTTATAAAATTTCTCAACCCTCTGAAAGAAAAATAAATCTCTCATCTCTGCCCTAAAATAATGATCCCCTAATTTCAAAACAGTGTCCTTTAGTTGTGGACTTACACACAAAAGGAAACATTCTTTCCATGTCCACTTTGTCAAGCTCAATTGTGATACTGAATCGTGATTTGTATCTTAGCAAATGTTGGCAACATACTAAAATTTAATCTCAATCTACGAAGGGATTGTGTTGATGGTGTTGCCTGATACTTTAGGCTTTAATCAACAATGCTGTTGCTACTGCCCTTCTATATGGCAGTATGATGGGCACTGGAGAATTTCTCCCAGTGGTGTCCCTAAAAGACACTTAAATTTGAATGGGAAGACAGGCAAACAAACTTCGGAATGCTCACTGAAGACATTTCATCCAGCACTGCAACCACGATTATGCACAATCAGCTCTGATGGCCTGATGCTATAGCTAAATAATTGGCTTCCAAAGTAGACCTGCTTTTCACAACTTAAGGATGGCATGTAACACTAAGATACATTTTAAGGATACTCTAAAGGCATTATTGAGCATTGGACAAACTGATATCACTGGGTGGGAGGAACACACCATAAACCATGTCATTTGGTGGCATCTCACTAACAAGCTCCTGTGTGGTCGGAAGTTTCCCTGCAGGGAAGAAACTAAAATAGAAGGAAAGACAACAGAATTTGTCCTCTAGAATCTCCTTTCCCAAGACAACTCTTGTCCTTTGCACCCAAAGACTTGTAGGTCCAGGATTGGCTTGTCAAGTCCTTGAGGACACAAAACATGAAGCCTGGCAGGTGTCATCCTCATTTCAAGGGAGTGATGATGACAACTGCTACTGTTTCATGTTGACATTGAAATAGTACATTAGATTTCTGATGAAATGCACAAGATAGTGATTGCAAAAGTACATATGCTAAGAAATAATACAGATGGTTGTTATATTGCACGGAAATAATTATCTGATGGCTATCCCATGAATCACAACACAGCAATTTTCTTTTAAATGGCAATTAAGCACACAAATCTGCATACCTTTGACGTAGCTGGTGGCACTGAACTCGATGGAGATGCATCTCTTGAGGGGTTCAAAGAAGAAACAGAAGATCTTTCTCTATCTGTGAATAGAAAATTAAAATATGGTAAATACTTAATTCCGGATTATATCTTTCAAAGTGAACTTCAGATACGTTGCATTTAAAAAAAAAGTTCTTTCCTTCCAAAAGATTGATCATTGCCTTAGCTCAGGTGTCCGTCATATGTCATTTTGCTTCAATGGCCTGGATTTGTCACTGGCCAGACAATTGTTGTTTCAGTGTAAATGGGAGGTGCACATAGGGACCCCGTGGAATTCCCATTGCAGCAGATTCTGAAGGAATTGCATGGGAAATTGAATTTTCTGCTGGGCAATTCCTCCAAGCCTGGAACCCTCCAAAAGTCTTACACAAACTGGAGACTCTACAGTATTCTGAAGAAATTAAGCAGAATAGTTACTCAGGAAAAGTTGGACTATTAAATAAATATTTGAACTGCTGAATAACTATACAACTGTCCCATTACTTAGCTCACACATCCCTAACCACACCTCCCCAAATCCCCTAAACTCCCCCGGACCCGACTTCACCAGAGGACCTCATTCCGTTTACCCCCGATGGACCCGACTTGACACGATCCGACCGGGCCCACCTCCTACCCACACCGCCCCACCAGGTCAGACTGGACCGTATACCCCAAACACCCAACCCCAGCCCTCCCAAGCCAACCTGATTTCACACTACTCCAATTTCCTTTGCACACCCTGACCTGCCCTAAACATTACATCTTTTCCCTTGACACCTTGCATATTGACATCCTATCCACCTAACTCAAAGTGACATGGATAAGAGCAGTTTTGCTCCGATGGGACAGATTCCTGAATTTGCCAACCTTCCTCTGTCCATGTGGCATCCTATCCACCTGGAATCCTACATACCTGGTGCCTATCCTCACACAACTGGCATCTTGTCTCTAGTGCACTACCCCTTCCCTAGTTGGCACCCTACTTACTTGGTAACCTAAATACCGGGCCCGTACCCCTATACGCCTGACAACCTTACCTCGTTGGTATCCTTGGCACCCTATCTCCCCTAATCAGTCATCGAGCTCCCTAACCTCCCAGTAGCCTAGCATCATACTTATTTATGGTTTAACAGCAGCTGTCAAAGTGGCAGCCAGGATCTGCAAATTTCAGAAAATGGCAGCTGACTATGGAAAAGGACGTGATTTGCCTTCCTCTGAAAGCCCTGTGCTGCAAAAGAACTCAAATGCAGAACTCCCTCCTTTTGTGAACAAAAAAGGGTGGAGTGGCAATCAAGGTAAGATCAGTACTCCTTGGAAAATCAGGCCGAATTTCTCTCTCATCTGTAGGTAAGGCAGAACTCATGCATGTTACGTGAACTTAATATTTGTGGTGGTAATGACAGCAAAATTGCCAGCACTTGCAATCATTACTCCTTGAAAGTGACAATCTTGGAAGTTGACAGAATTTTACAGACATCTAGAATAGCACCTGCATTGTTGAAGTTTCCACTCCCCTCCTAGCGTGAATGGAATCTCTAAATTTACCTCTGAATTGATAAAATAATCCACTTTCACGTTACAAGACTCATTGTAAATATTACTAAAAGAGTTATAATTGGTGAATGAGCTGCAATTGGATTTCATATTGTATACTATAATCAAAACAGGGGTCAAATGGATTTGTTTTTTGGAGGCTGCTTTTGAGATTTTCTCAAGTGCACCTTTTTGACTTTCAAAGGCTCATTTTATTAATTTCAAAATTGCCCTTTTCCTTCTCCCTAATTCCTGCAGAGATGAAACACAGAATAACAATACCTTCTGTATTTGTGCCGAGATATGGTCTCGGAAGCCGAATTAGAACAATTCATCAAGAGTCTCAATAATCATCACTGCTCCATTAAACTTAAAGCCCAACACACAAGGAAGCATTAATATTCTAGACACTACAGTATTTAAATGGACAAAAGTCAACAGTCATAAGTAAGCAACAAAAGTCTTTAAGAATAACGATATACACTTCTACAGACCAAAAAACCATCACCCTAAATGTTTTCTGGAGACTGTTTAGGTTACAGTTACATGCTTGCCTATAACCAGTCAATTGAGTTATCCAATTAATTCATAGTATGTCAGATGCTTTGAGGTGTGATAACATTAACATACAAATCTTTATGAAGTAAAAATATTAAATTAACTAAGCCAATTGACAAAACATTACTTAAAAGTAGGATCCCAGCAAAGATGGTTGTTGTCAAATAGAACGGACAAGTTACCAGGACAGAAGATAAACCATCATTTCTCTGGAATATCGCACCTCTCATTCATAGAAACATTTCAATCAAACCAACATAAAGGAACAGTAGACCACATGTCTAGCTCAGCCAATTCTGAACAAAGAGAACCATTGAAACACCTTATGTATGAGATAGTGCTAATGAACTATCTACTACAAAACACAACAGATTTTAACCAGGTCATCAAAGCCCATCTCATTATTTGAGTCACTCAGCCTTAGCCCTATGACAAACTGCTGGCTTGTTTGAATCATCTTTAATCATGCAGTTTTTGTCAGCTTTCCCTAAACTTCTTGTGACACCAGAAAAGAACACAGAGAGCAGCCCCAGGCTTAACTCTCTGATCACAATCTCTGAAAAGTTTTATACCTGGAAAGAATCCTGTATTTTCATCTGCAAAAAAACAATTCCCAGTTTAGAACTACTATATCTTTTCCTGCAATTTGACTGAATTGCAGCTTCTGCAAAACGGACTCCTATGTAGGGTCAATTGAAAAGATCTCCACTGGACATCGACTTACTGGATTCCCTAACACATGTGAACTAATTTTTGATTTTAAGTAATTTATGATTTCCCTTCTTAACTTCTTCCTTCTTCCTTCTTCACTGAATATATATCTTGTGCATTGTGAACCAGTACTAGTCAATAAATCCTGTTTTGTTTTTACTTAAAGGAATTTGGATCAATTTAAAATTGAATTGCACACAGAGTTTAGGGAAACACACCACTGCCTACTTTAAAAGGGAAATGAAAATAAGAGAGTGAATTAAAAGTCACTTCTGCTCTGTGTTGAAAGGGAGAACAGTGAAAATAATTCACCTCCCCCTCTTGTCCATGACACGGGTAATTAGACTTGTAACTTAATCAAAGGACCATATTTTAGAAACCAGGCTTGCTTGTTACATTTTCAATAGTTCAATGAAGTAATCATCCTTAGAGTTCTGTGACTATTTGAAATTAAGTTTTCGCACTAAGGCTTTGTTTCTTGGTTTGCAGGAAGATTAAAGGAAATATATGAATTATAAAAAAAAACTTCCAGAAAGCTGCAAAACATGTCATAAAGGCATCTCCTTTTTTACTGCAAAAGAACAATATTGGTAAAAAATCATCTGGTTGAAGCAATGTGCAACTAAATCATGAAGATCTGAAAGATTAAAAGATTCAGTTGTCCATTATGACACAGTCCATTGATCTCAGTCTTGGTAATAGAAGAACTACTACGACTGATCTTCATGCTCCTGGCAATGGGCAACAAAACAGGCCAGGGTGATTATTGCTGAGTACTATGCTGTATTTTCCAAGCCTGAAACTTGCTCAAATGGATATAAACTTAAGGCATGACATGAATAAGCCATGGTAACTCTCCAAAATCAGATAGCCTGACAGTGAGCACGATCAAGAACTTATTTTAGGCCTTTAATGCAAAAGATGCTCTGTGCTCCTCAGATGGAATTATAGAACATGGACATGAAACAAGGGATGGAGAAAATATAAGTTTCTGAAAAGTTGTTTGTGGATTTCTAAAGGAAAGAATTAGTTGAAAGTACAGGGGTTTTAGGAAGAAAGTTTCAATGATCAGAACCCAGGCAGATAAAGGCTTTCCTGCCAGTAGTATGAAGGGGCTTGGAACGTTACGAGCCTGGAATGATCAGGGGAAGGAAGGGATAGCCAGCTGAAGGAGATCATAAGAACAATGAGGTGAAAGGCATAAAGAAATTTAAAGATAAGGGTGCTTTAAATAGGAAGTTAAAGAAACCAGTGAGGACAAGAGTGAATAGAGGGTATCGAACAGTGTGTAAGTGTTCTGGACAGATTGGGGTTTTTTAAAACTTAGGAGGCCAGCAAGGATTGAAAGCATAATGAGTCTTGCAATGGGGAAGGCATGCATTAGTAGCAGAGGAGACTGAGCAAGGCAAAAGTCATTTTTATACAATTAAACAATATTTTTAAGTTCCTTTTTCAAATATAAACACAAACCCCCAATATACTATGTGTATCGTCTACCTTTTTTTAATCTTATTTGAGCTAGAGATGGAGAATTAACCTACTTATACGATTTAAAAGGCCAAATATATCCTCACAAAAATGAATTAATCTTGTAAAATCATTTCAAAGTAGGCATCTTATCACAAAGTCACACTGCTATATAGCATAGAAACAGACTACTTGGTCCAATGCATCCATGCCGACTTGATATCTTAAATTAATCTGGTCCCATTTGCCAGCATTTGGCCCATATCCCTCTAAACCCTTCCTATTCACATACCCATCCAGATGCCTTTTAAATGTTGTAATTGTACCAGCCTCCACCACTTCCTCTGGCAGCTCATTCTGTGCACGCGCACACCATCCTCTGTGTGAAAAAGTTACCCCTTAGGTCCCTTTTAAATCTTTTCCCACTCATCTTAAACTTATGCCCTCTTGGTTTGGACTCCCCCACCCTGGGAAAAAGACCTTGGCTATTCATGTTGGCATTGTTCCTGTTATTTTCTTTTTGAAATCAATGTTATACAATAAACTGAGGAAAGTCCTTAAAATATAAAGGCTCTATTTATATTTGATGACTACTGAGTCAAAAAGACTTTTTACAAATTCTCTTTTTAAAAATAAAATCACTATCAATCTTTTTGAAAAATATCACAGAGGTTTTGAAGACTTTATTTGCATTTGTTTTCACAGTAGAGTATATTAATAGCAATCCAACAATTCTAAATCAAGGGGCAAAAACTGGGGAGAAATAAATACAATAACTATCACTAGAAAA